AAAAAAAAAAAAAAAAAAAAAAAAAATAGGAAAACCTGTCTCTACTAAAAATACAAAAATTAGCTGGACATGGTGGTGTGCACCTGTAATCCCAGCTACTTGGGAGGCTAAGGCAAGGGAATTAATTTGAATCTGGGAGGTGGAGGTTGCAGTGAGCCGAGATCGTGCACTCCAGCCTGGGGAACACAGCAAGACTCCGTCTCAAAAATAAAAAATCCAGGGTCCAATACTAACCATCTAACTCTGACAGTTGGCAAGTTACCCACTCTGAACCCTACTTCCTCATCTATAGAATGAGGATAGTAATACCAACTGAGCAGACAGAGCTGTTGAGAGGATGTGCTAATACAGGTGAAAAGCCAAGTTGGTGAAAGGAATCTTTTAGCTACTTGAAACCATAACCAAAATTTATTGACAACAAATGGAATTTAAGGTCTGCATCTCTCCTCACTGCTCAAATGTCTTATTTCAAACATATGGAGTCTTTGTGAGTTTCCACATTATTGGAAAATTCCCCATTGACTGTCTGCCAAAGAGAAGTTTAGAGATATTCAGTCATTCTGCTCTCCTTCAGGAAAGAAAAACAAAACCGGGTTGGCCCCGCCATATGTCCATGTGCATCTCCATGTACATTTCTGCTCAGAGCTGCAGAATGCTCTGATGTCCCCGGTGTTTTCTGGCTAGCTCTGTTTCAAGGTGCCATGTTGGAGTGGCACATCAACAAGAAAAATTGGAAGAGGTTTGTGGGTAAAATAGCAACCTGTTTTCATTGCGGGACCTGTGCATTTATTTATTATTTATTTAGAGATGGAGTCTTGCTCTGTCACACAGGCTGAAGTGCAGTGGTACCATGTCAATTCACTGCAACCTCCACCTCCTGGGTTCAAGCAATTCTCCTACCTCAGCCTCCCAAATAGCTGGGATTACAGGCATGGCCACCACGTATGGCTAATTTTTGTACTTTTAGTAGAGACAGCATTTCACCATGTTGGCCAGGCTGGTCTCAAACTCCTAGCCTCAGGTGATCCGCCTGCATCGGCTTTGCAAAATGCTGGGATTACAGGTGTGAGCCACCATGCCTGGTGAACCTATGTTTTTAGACTGGAAATCACATTGGAGAGTGCGAAATGCCTGAGATCTATTTTCTTTTTTTTTTTCACCATTGTCTATAATTTTTATTTTTTTTTCTATTTTCTATTTTTGATTTTATTTATTTATTTTGAGATGGAGTCTTGCTCTATCACCCAGGCTGGGTGCAGTGTCATGATCCTGGGTCACTGCAACCTCCGCTTCCCACGTTCAAGTGATTCTCCTGCCTCAGCTTCCCGAGTAGCTGGGACTACAGGTGCATGTCACCATGCCCGGCTAATTTTTGTATTTTTGGTAGAGACAGGATTTCACCATGTTGGCCAGGCTGGTCTTGAACTCCAAATCTCAAGTGATCCACCCACCTCTGCCTCCAAAAGTGCTAGGATTACAGCTGTAAGCCACTGTGCCTGGCATGAGATCCATTTTTTAAAATGGAAATTGAGGCTTAGAGAATTTAAAATAACTACCTCACACAAGTGGTAGAAACAGGAATCCACATCTCTCATTTCTTGCAAGGAAGACTGAGAATGCATTCCAGTCATCAAGCTCTATTACACTGTCTCCATACGAAACCACTGGAAGTGTCTAACACCTCTCCTAAAAGCTTGCCCAGCATTCCAATGCATGCTTTCTTCTTTCTCTCTGCTGTGGATGTGAAGAATGATCTTCACTCAATGAGGTGGGTCTGCAGGAGGGAGCTTCCTGATGTCAGATAGCGTGGTAATGTGAGGACTGCCAACCTATTTTCACTGGAACAGCACACCACTTCACTGATGCATCAGCAACAGAAGTAATGAATGCTGGTAAGACCTTCCTTTTAAGCACTTTACAATTGATAAAGAACATTCACATCTATCTCCCTATTTTTCTTCCTTCCCACTTCTGAGAAGCTATGTTGAACAGGATTTATTCCCAATTACTAAGGTTCAGAGATTAAAAGTGAACTGTGGCTGGGCACAGTGGCTCAATCCTGTGATCCCAACACTTTGGGAGGCCAAGGTGGGGCCGATCACCTGAGGTCAGGAGTTTGAGACCAGCCTGGCCAACATGATAAAACCCTGTCACTACTAAAAATATAAAAATTAGCCAGATGTGGAGGTGCACACCTGTAAAATACCAGCTACTTGGGAGGCTGAGGCAGGAGGATTGCTTGAGCCCAGGAGGCGGAGAGTGCAGTTAGCTGAGATCACGCCACTGTACTCCAGCCTGGGCAACAGAGGGAGACCTTGTCAAAAAAAAAAAAAAAAAAAAGGAAATTGCCAGCTATCCAAAGAGGACTATAATGAAAAATAGCCAAACAGTTTTCTGCACTACCCACAGAGGAATTGTTCTGGATTTCTGTCATAACTTTTTTTTTTTAGACAGTTCTGCTCTTGTTGCCCAGGCTGGAGTGCAATGGCGCGATCTCAGCTCACTGCAACCTACACTGAGTTCAAGTGATTCTCCTGTCTCAGCCTCCCAGGTAGCTCAGATTACAGGTATGCACCACCCTGCCTGACTATTTTGTGTATGTGTGTGTGTTTAGTAGAGACGGGGTTTCACCATGTTAGTTAGGCTGGTCGCATACTCCTGACCTCAGGTGATCCATTCGCCTTGGCTTCCCAAAGTGCTGGGATTACAGGTGTGAGCCACCATGCCCAGCCCCCATCATAACTTAAAGGGAAACTTTCACAATGTCTGGAGCCCTTGATGTCCTGCAAATGAAGGAGGATGTCCTTAAGTTCCTTGCAGCAGGACCCCACTTAAGTGGCACCCATCTTGATTTCCAGATGGTACAGTACATCTATAAAAGGAAAAGTGATGGCATCTACATCATAAATCTAAAGAGGACCTGGGAGAAGCTT